TGGTGCCGCTGGGTGGGTTTGAACCACCAACTTTCCTGCTAGCAGCTGAGCACAAACCACTTGTGCCACCCAGGAACTAACTGGATACTAGACTAGGAAAAAAAATGTCTAAAAGGACATTGTTGAGATCATTAGCAAAACTTGAATAAGGCCTATAGTTTAGCTCATATTATATCAATTTAAATTTTCTCATTTTGGAAACTGTAGTGTGCTAACATAAGAGAATGACCTTGTTACTAGGAAATAAAGAAGCGTGAGTGTGTAGAGAGAGAATGATAAAGCAAAAATGTTACGTGTGCACAGGAGTCCTTTGTACTACTCTTGCAACTTCAAGTTTGAAATTAGTTCTAAAAAAAGCAAAGAGACAGACAGGGTGGTGCGGGGCAGGAAACTGTCGTCTCTCAGTACTAGCAATCAGGGAGAAAACTGGAACTGTGGTAAGAGACTAACCAAAAGGGAACATAACATAGGGCGCTAAGACATTGAGTCAGCTCATAGAAGGGGTAAAAAAGGAAATCATTAATGACTTTCTTTTTTAAATACCTACCTTCTGTGAGTCCCACTGTCCCAATAGGGGGGTGACTGAAGACCACAGTGGGGATGTTGTCATAGTCTAATTTGGAATCTTGTTTGTATTCAAAAAGTCTATGGGCAAGTTTTCGGCCAGCAGCGATTGCAACTACAAAGATATTTTAAAATCAGTGTTTATCTACTATTCATCTTAACACAGCAGAATTGTTCTACCAGCCATTTATCCATCTGGTTAACATACTAGTTAAGAGAAAGTTTTATGCTAATGTTCATTATAATATCTAGTTCAATATAATGTATATCAACGTCTTAGTTAAAAATTCGAAACTATTAAGTTTATGTGAATTCCATACATTCTGTTTAAAAAAAAAAAAAGAAGAAGAAGCCATTCCCAACTTCCCCATCACTTAGCAGTTAATCTACTTAATAAAGATATTAAATTTTTGATACAATATTTATGGAACAAACTATATTCATTTCAGGCATCTTCATTTTACTTTATAACCATACTCGTTTCACATTAAAAAAAGACTTTTTTTAACTTAAAAGTTTAGTCTCCTTAGCCTGTTTTGCCTTTAACAATTTTTTTCAATGCGTGAGTACAGTAAAAATATCAGTTTTTAATTTTGTTGATTTCAGAACAACAATGTTTTATCAAAGTAAAATATCGGTAGAATACATAAGAAATTGTCTTCACTTTGCCATCATTTTCAACTGCTATGTTACGTGATGAAGTTTTTGAAACTGTTTGTTACGTTGGTTTTGTTAAGAGATCTTCCCAAAGGAGCTAAAAGGCTTTGGGTATGTGACCTGGGCAGGTTTCCATCTTAAGGTAAGACCCTGGGACCATTTTGGAAAGGCTGATGAGGGCCAGTAGGGTACAGAATCAAAGTATATGAATGAAGTCAACAATGGATAGAGATGGGACAAAGAGCTGGAAGTCATGCCAGTTAACTCAAGAAGTGCCTTGAGGGGTGAGAGTGAAGGGCTCGATCTTGGTTGTATCAAGACCAAACAGTCATATAACAATGCAACTCTAAATTACTTCTTCCCAAAAGCCACTTCCTCCCACTGTCACCACAGACAACGCCGATTCTAACTTACCGTGTTCTACAGAGGGTGACCATATCCTCTCTATGAAAGTTCCACTCTTTACAAGGCTTTTTTTTTAATCTTTTATGAAAACTGGATATTATTCAGAAAATGTCAAGTAGATAACCAACATATATTTCAATACATTTTTATCATTTTGATGACATAAAGATACTTATCCTTTAAACTTTGCTG